TCTCCTCTCCCTTTGGAGCATCTTAGATCAGGGGTCGGGGAAAGCTGCCCTCTGGAGGGGGAGCCGGCATTGGCCAGGGGAGGTGAGGCTGGAGCAGGAAGTGTGTTCTTAGCAGAAGGAACAGCATGTACGGAGGCCCTGGGAGAAGGGAGCCAGGGGCAGTTGGGGACTCTAGGTGGAAAGGAAGTGTAGCTTACAGGGGTGGGTAGTGACGGCTGAGATCAGAGGGGCTGGGACTTTACGGGTGGGGGAGGGGAGCTATTGAAGGATTTTAAGCAAGGCGGTTGGTTTAGCAGTTAGGCAGCTGCCCCTGGTGGAGAAGGGCCAGTGTAGGGGCCCAGGTGACCGGGGCCTGGACTAGGGAGGCCCAGACGACCCAAGTGAGGCTACCATTAAGATTCAGGTTTAGGGACGCCTGGGTGGCTCAGTCGGTTAAGCAACTGCCTTCGGCTCGGGTCATGATCCCAGGGTCCTGGGATCGAGCCCCGCATTGGGCTCCCTGCTCAGCGGGGAGTCTGCTTCTCCCTCTGCCTGCCGCTCCCCCTGCTTGTGCTCTCTCTGACAAATAAATATTAAAAAAAAAAAAAAGATTCAGGTTTAGATTCTACCCTCAGAAACTCTGCTTTTAGATTTCTCCCTGTTTTTTTAAAGAAAGTCATTGCGGAGTATCTCAGACATACACAAAAGTATAAAGAATGCCATCCGGGTGGGGACCCAGACTCAAGACCCAGAACGTTTGCAATCAGCTCATGCCCTTCAGAGCCTCCCAGCTCCACCAGCCCTCAAGAGGGGGTCACCACTGCCCCGAATTTGTATTCATCTCTCCCTGTGTGTTTCTGCCTGCTTTTTACGAATACATGATCTAGTTTTGAATCTTTGCAACTTTATACAAATGGTATCCAACTGTTCTTCTGTAATCTGCTTTTTCTCTCAATATAATGATTAAACAAAAAGGTTTATGGTTGGAGTTGAAGAAGGATGGGCTCCTTCAAGAGCTATTTAAGTAGTGGCAATAAGAAGGGACACCAAGCGCCTCCCGGGCCTGCTCCGCCCTCAGGACAGTATATAACTCACTTCTCACTACAGTGTGATGAGATATTGCTGCACCCTTTTCGCTGGGGAAACTGAGGTACCGCAGCTGTACACGAGGTCACTAGGCGGGTGGAACCCAGCTGTGAGCCCAGCAGATTCCCACTGGACTTGGGGGTGGTCAGGTGGGGAGGTGAGGAGACCGCACCCACAGTGCCGCCATGAAGCCTCTCTTCCTCCACCCTGCTCACCACCCCCAGAGTTGGGCCCTGTGCTGTCCTGGGGGCGGGGGGTGAGCTGGGTGCTGAGGTCCGGCACCCTCCCTCTGCTCCCCGAAGGAAAGGAGCAGACTCCACCTGGGGACGAGGTGGTTGGGTCCTCCCCACATCCTCCCAGCTTCCGAGCCACCCTCCCTAGGCAGGTCCCTGCTCTCCGGGTCCCTCAGTGAGGCCGCCCCCTCCCCCCACTGCAGTGTGACAGCCCGCCGCACCCTCCCAGCCTCTTCATGGCCACTGGAACCTCTTCCACTGGCCCTCCAGGCAGGCAGGGCAGCCAGCACTCTGCCCACTTGGCAGAATGAGACCCACACTGTGAGGGAAGGACGGAAGAAGGCGAACAGCTTCTGGAACCCGAAGGGCCTGGGCTGGGGTTCCTGAAACTTCAGCTCACCGCCTCAGTTCCCTCATCTGTAAAGTGGGCCTCCTCACCTCCCCCGATCGTCGAGAGGGGTTGTGAAATGTGCGCACAGACTTCCCCGGTGCAGGACCTGGCATGTGGTACGCGACGATGAGGACAGGAGCCGCTGTCGTGTTTTTGTTCCTGAGGGCTAATGAGCCCAGCACGTTCGTGCTGAGCCGGGCTAGGACCCCGGGCTCTGGCTCAGGGCCCGTATACTCACGCCGAACCCCACCCAGCCTCCCAGCACAACAGTCTGTGGGTTCGGAGCCCCCCTCTCCCTGCCTCGTCGGGACCTGAGTGGGGGTGATGGCATCATCACCCCTCCCCCCATCTTGGGCTAGGGGCCCAGTTGGCATCAGCCAGGAGCCCACGCGGCACAGCCTGCGCCCGCAGCAGATGGGAAAGTGGGGGGGGGGAGTCATGTTCTTCTGATTCAGACACTGGGGTGGGGAGGGGGCCACACACGATCTGCAGAGCCCACCTCCTCCCTAGCCCTCCTGCCGGCAACAGAGCTGGTGGCTCCGACAAAAGAACAGCTTGCACGCCCGCCTCGCTCAGCGTGCATGGCTTCTCCTCGCCACGGCGTCTGTGTAAATAGCACTAGACGTCCTGTTCCTCCTCTGAGGGAGGAGGACGCTTTGCTCGAGAGCTCCAGAGGTGTCAGCTTTGCCCAGCCCCATTGCTGTAGGAAATTCAAAAGGGCTTCTGCCTCAGTTCCCCCATCTGTGAAATGGGAGCACTACGAGTACCAAGCAAAATGAGTGGCTGTGAGGATTGGTGAGTAAATACACGTGCAGGGCCAAGGACAGGCCTGGCACCCTGTCTCATTCAGACGTGTGGCCCTCCTGTCAAGCTTGGCCCCGTGCAAAGAGGGAAACGGAGGATAAAGGGTGCCAGAGCCCAGGAGACTCAGCCGTGGCCCTGCTGGCACTGAGATGGGATGCATTCTATGAGCTAATTGCCTCAGCCCAAGATTTACTGAACGTTCAGCCACTTTAAGTGCAGTGGGTACTCCATGGGCTTTCGTGGCCAAGGGAAGATTCTGGAGGTAGCCAGCTCTTTGTTGGCTGATGGTTCAAGGCTCACAGTTTGCATTCTGCTTTTATTGTCCAGGAGGGCCTGTTACTTCAACTCTTCCATCCTTACATCTGTCCTGGGGATGGACAGAGCAGGACCTGTTGTCCCTGTTTCACAGAAGAGGAAACTGAGGCTTTGTGTTTAGCCAGAGTTAGGATTCGTAGGCACCCAGGGAGTTAGAAGGAGCCCTCCGATAGGGTATCGGAGGTTAGTGTAACAGGGGTGGGGCCAGCTGTCCAGAGCTGCTCATTAGTCCATGCCCCACCCACCGCACTTGGCCTGCGCCCCAGCCTGGGGGGCCAAGGAGGCGGTTGCATGGATGGGTGGCTGTGCCCTCTTAGGTGGGATGTGGTGGGGGATAAAGGTGGCCCGCTGTGGGGGCGTCTGGGTGGCTCAGTTGATTAAACGTCCAACTCTTGGCTTTAGCTCAGGTCGTGATCTCAGGGTCATGAGATTGAGCCCTGCATCAGGCTCTGTGCTCAGCGGGGAGTCTGCTTGAGATTCTCTCTCCCTCTCCCTCTGCCCCTCCTGCTCATGCCCCCCCCAAAATAAATAAATAAATGTAAAAAAAAAAAGTGGCCCACTGTGGTCCAGCTTTTGTCCAGGCTCTTGTCCTGCACACCACCATTTAATCCTGACCACAGGTCTGCAAGCTGGGCATTCCAAGCCCTCATTTTGTAGATGAGGAAAAATGACACCAAAGAAGTTAGCCCCCCTGCTCCCACTCCCGAGGGGGGGTGTCAGTCCCTCCAACTCCCCAGCATGAGGTCATGGCAGCTTCTCTCAGGCGCTGGCCTCCCCGCCCCACCCTCCAGCACTTTGAGGCAGGACATCCATTTATCTGCTCATCACACAGCTAGAAGACACGCACCTCGAGGAGAAGGAATCTGCCCAGTCTCACCCAGCAAATGACCACAGGGCCAGGGCTGGGCCAATGAGGCTCAGGAGGGGTATCCTGTACTCGCTCCAAGCCGAGGGGCCATCCTGCGAGGCACAGGGCACTCAGGAAATGTTAGGCCGTGCTCTTGGTTTTCTGTTTTGCCCTCAGCAGTATCTTCAGCACCGGGTGCAGGGCCCAACCCATAGTAGGTGCTCCCTGATTATTCCTTGCTCAGTGAAGGTATCGTAAGAATTCAGTGAGCTCAGGCCTGGGGCTAAGGCTGCCGGCAAGGCCCAGGGCTGACTGAGCAGGAGCTGCTCGGGCCCTTGGGGAGTGTGGAGGAAGCCAAGGAGATAAGGAAGGTCTAATTTGGCTCCTAGAAGCTCAATGAATTATTAATGTCTGCCAGAGACTACCCCTCCCAGAGTCTGGACTTGTGGCCTCGCCTGCCTTCTTCCACCCCAGAAGGGCTTCTTCCAGCAGGAGAGGGGGAGGAGAGCCCCCCTCCCTGGGGCCCTGCTCCAATTCTTCTGCCCGCTGGGGTCATAAGGCAGCAAAAGGGAGGCTCTAAAAAATCCTGGGCAGGATGAGGGTGTCAGAGACCAGCTTGGATCACTCTGCCCTGGGCAGTAATTGCAATAACCAGGCTCTGTTCATTGGCATTTACTACTTAGCCATCCCCCAACCCCCCTTCTAAATAGGTACAGTTCTACCCTGTTGCATGTGGGGAAACGGGTTCAGAGAAGTGGAGGCATTTGCCCAGGGTCACACAGCAGATTGATTCTGGAGCTGGATTTGAGCCCTGGGTTTTCTGACTAAGGCGCCATTGCAGCCCTATTCCAGAAGCCCCTGGTTTGTGCCTCTGCATCTGCTCAGTGCCCACACAGAGCTTTGCACCATTTTGAGAAGCCTGGCGAGCGAATGAGTGAAGACTAAGACAATCCACCCCTTCAAGAACCTGTCAGCATACAGCTTTCAGTTATGAAGGACTCAGCCGTGGCTCTCAACCCTGACTGCAATGTGAGAACCACCCAGGGGAGCTTCTAGAGCTCTCCACTGCCAGCCCCCCACCTCCACCCCACCATAGGCTGAGATGTTCTTGAGGGTAGACCCAGCCTGCTTTCAGCTTACCATCAGACACCGGCAGTGGAAAGAACCTGCTCTTTCGTTGAACATGTGTTGCCTGAATTTGATATCGCCATCCCCATTTGCCTTTGGGGAAGCTGAGGCTCACCTGGGGTCACCCGACGGGGTGGTGGGCATCTCTGAGCCCTGTGTCTCTTTCCTTTCACCCTCCAAGCGACCTCACATGCCGTTTCTTCTGCCCTGTAAGCAGCAGGAGCTCCCAGCCCGTGTGAACTTCTCAGCGGCCCCAGCCCCTGCACCCGCGGTGCCCACTGCCCTGAACACCAAGATGGACGAACTAGAGGGGCAGCTGCTGGCCAAGGTACTGGCCCTGGAGAAGGAGCGAGTGGCTCTCAGTCACAACAGCCAGCGGCAGCGGCAGGAGGTGGAGAAGGAGCTGGATGCGCTGCAGGACCGCGTGGCTGGACTGGAACATGGTGGGTCCAGGGCCCAGCAGAGGGCACTTTCCCAGATGGGTCTTCAAGGAGGCAGATTCACTCAAAAACATTTTTGTGCTCTCCAGAGGCTAAAGCTAGATGGGACAGTGGAGAGGGGGCTGCGAAACCCAAGAGGGAGAGAATAATTGGGGAATATCATTATTTTTCTTTTTTTTTTTAAGATTTTATTTATTTATTTGAGAGAGAGAATGAGAGACAGAGAGCATGAGAGGGAGGAGGGTCAGAGGGAGAAGCAGACTCCCTGCCGAGCAGGGAGCCCGATGCGGGACTCGATCCAGGGACTCCAGGATCATGACCTGAGCCGAAGGCAGTTGCTTAACCAACTGAGCCACCCAGGCGCCCGGAATATCATTATTTTTCTTAACAGTTAACATTTTCTGGGCCTTACGTTCTGGGAGTGGGCTAAGGACTTGACAAGTCAGCTGGTTTAATCTTCACAAACCACATGGGGCTGGTACTGTTAGTCCCATTTCACAGATGAGGACACTGAGGCTCAGAGAGGTCAAGCGACTGAGGCCCAGCATCACACAGCCAGTGAGTAGTGGATCTGGACCTCAAACCAGGTCTGAGGTTTGGACTTTTCCAAAGTCCATGCATTTAACCACCCCACAAAATCTGTGAATCAGAATTTTGCTCCTTGCTTAGCAACTGGGCCTTGCAGTGCCAGGAGTCAGAGAAACGTGCTGTCATGGACGGTGCTCAGGTCTGAGCATCAGGAGCCCTGGCTCCTGGCTCCACAGCTGTCACTGGCTTACTTTGGAATTTTGCTTCCTTTCCCCAGGCCTCATTTTTCTCATCTGAAATGTGGGGATCTAGGACTCCTGAGCTCTCAGGGACCTTTCGTCTTTGAAACCTTGTGAGGACCACCCTTAAGAGGCTTATAGACAAGTTAGGGATACCAGGGGAAATCATGAGCAATAATCAGTGACTGGCTTAGATGTGGGACGTGAGTTCAGGAGAAGGAAATCCAAGAGGCTTCCTGAAGGAGGCGAGCCTCAGCCTAGTCGCTGAAGGCAGAGGGAGAGAGCCAGTCAGTTTTGGAGTGGAGGGGCCAGAGCAGGGGCAAGGCAGGAGGCGAGACATGGCCCAGTGGGTTTCAGGGCTCGCCTCCTGGCTGGAGCACAGAGATAAGAAAGGCAAACTCACCCCTCCTCGGTCCTGCCACTGGCCCCCTGTACTGCATATTCTAAGGGATTGGGGGACACAGCCCTCCAGAAGCTGCAGAGCAGAGAGGAGGCAGACAGCTAGGCTGGATGTCTGTGTGCCTGTGAGCAAGTTGTGTCCCTTCTTGGGACTCAACTTCCTCATCTATGAAAGGGGTTTCAAGGGGCACTGAGTCCCTTCCTCTCTTACCATGTTGCATCAGCACATCAGCCTTCACCCCAAGCCCCAACCAGACCTGGGAACCCAGGTCCACCATTCCCAGCCCCAACCCCCTAACCCCAGCCCTCAACAAGCAGCTAGAGAAGGGGGCGTCCTACCCTAGAGGTGGGTGTGGTAGGTGTTACCCCCTGGCCTTGGGAGGGGTGACTCTCTAGTCTACCCCTGCAGAAAGCCCTCTGATACTCAAGACATAGAATCCCTGAAACTCTGCACAGGAAGGCACCCTGGACACCAAGGAGTCCCAAGATGGTCTTGTTCGGATGGCAGCTCTGCCGCTGACCAGCTGTGTGGCCTTGAGAATATGACTTAATCTCTGCACCAAGGCTTCCTCATCTGTGAAATGAGGATTATAATAGTGGCTACCTCATGGGGTTGTCACAAGAATGATGTGAAAGCCTTTAGAACAGTGCCTGCCAGGTAGAAGGTTGTAGTGGTTATTAAATAAATAGGCAAAGAACTCAGAAAAATGATCATTGCCACAGCTCAGGTTTGTTGAGCATTTATTATAGGCCAGGCCCTTTATGTAGTTTGTCCCGCTCGGCCCTCACACAAGCCTGGGAGGGAGGAAATCTTATTTATGTCATTTAACTGAGCAAACCCGGGCTGGAGAGGTGACGTTGAACTTGTGGGATGTCACGTGGCTGGAAAGTGTGGAGGCAGGATTTGAACGCAGGACGTCTCAGGTCCAGAGCCCTTGTGCTTTAACCACACCCATCAACACAGAGGCAGGGTAGAGAGGTCCATGAAGGCACCTGGCACATGGCAGATGCCCAGGGACTAGGAGCCTTCATCCTAGAGTCTGCCCCGCCCCCCCATCAGTGTCCACTGACCCCCACCATGTCCGCCTTGCCCACTCCCCTCAGGGTCCTCAGCCTACAGCCCCCCAGATGCCTTCAAGATCAGCATCCCCATCCGCAACAACTACATGTACGCCCGTGTGCGGAAGGCACTGCCTGAGCTCTACGCCTTCACCGTCTGCATGTGGCTGCGCTCCAGGTCGGGGGGCAGTGGCCAGGGCACGCCCTTCTCCTACTCGGTGCCCGGGCAGGCCAATGAGATTGTGCTGCTGGAGGCGGGCCACGACCCCATGGAACTGCTGATCAATGACAAGGTGAGTGGGGGCTGGGCGGAGTGGGAAGAAAGTGGGGGACAGGATTACCCTTCCAGGAGCACCTGCACTGGGCTGGGTCCCAAGCATGTGGGCCCTTTCCATTCCCCTGCTCGGCAGCTTCAGGACACAGGAAATGCCTACTGGGTGCCAGGCTGGGTTCTGGGGATACAAAGACAAGCCAGACCTGGGGCTGGCTGAAGAGGGGCTTGTATCCAAGAGAGGCTGTCAGTGATGGCGTCTCCATTTACAGAGGAGGCCCATGGGGCTTCCGCAGTGACCCAGCTGCAGGAGCAGGGCTGGAAGGGTTTGTCCCAGGGCCCTGCTCCTTCTCCTGGACAAGAGGAGAAGCAAATGAGGCCCAGGAACCTACTTAGGGAGGGAGCGCTGGTGGACTCCTCACCCCCCCTCCTCCCCTGCGGCCAGCCCCTCTGCCCCTCCCCTCACCTGGAGAGTAGGCTGGTGCCCTTGTTCTGCCCTTGGGCCACCCATCTTCCCCATGCCTGGGCCGCCCAGCCCCCACTCACCTTGTCATTGGTGACATCCGGACAAGGACATGGGGGAGTGGTGTGGGAGTGGCATGTGATTGAGCAGGAGAAGAGGAGTGTTTTATCATCCTCATTCTCCCCAGTATCCTCCTCTACCTGCCATATTGCTTTGGGATTGGCAGGCATGGTGGTCTTTTGAGACCTCCCCCCCGGAGATGCAGACACCACGTATCACACCCACCTATGACCAGCCCACAGCCACTTAGAGCTGCTAGGAAGTGACTGTCACCCATCAGAAGCAAGCTCAGCAGGAGGTGTCTTTCATGGGTGTCCTGGAGGAGGAGGAGGAGGAAGGAGATGGACCCAGGGGACAGTGAGTTTCTCTTGTAGACCAGTAGGTTCTAGGAAAGGCTGGGGTAGCTGGAGTACATCTAGATCCTGCTACCATGTCCCCTTCACACACCCCCTGGCTGCCATCCTTGGCCCTGCCCAAGCTCAGCACTCCGCGCTCAGCAGAAAGGATTCAGCACCCTGGACAGGGCACAGCACGGCCCTATTCCAGGAACTCTAGCGTCTTTTTAAACGTCAGCCTCACAGGTTACTCAGTTCCCCTTTTATTCCAGCCTCTTAGCCTTTGCTCCTGCTGTGCCCCCACCTTGCTTTGACTTGCAGTGGAACAGTCAGATCCATTGTCCTTCCAGAGGTGTTTGAATACCATGTCTGCTGTCCCACACCTGCCTCTTCCTCTGGACCTCCCAAATGGCCCCTGTTATTTTGCCTTATAATATTGTCCCTGAAGTTCTTCCCTCCCCTGCAGACTCAGCTCATTTATAGCTAGGACCAGATCCACATCCCCAGTGTCCAGAACAAGCCTGGCACTAAGTGGGCCTCAGAGAATGTTGTGTTAAAGTGTGATCTCACAGAACTCTGGAGATGAATGAGCCCTTCGGGAGTCCCAAATCCACAGGCAGCAAGTACATCTCATCTCAGGCCAAAGCTAATCAATCACCAGCGGCTTCCCAGAGCACTGTTTTAGGAAAGATCCCGGGGCTGAGCCTGAGTTCACGATTGATTAGCCATGTCCGCCTTGGGTAGACGAGGCAGAGGTGGCTACATATTTGCCATCCTTTGCCTGACCATTAGCATCCTTTGCATGAGGAACTGAGGCCCAGGGAGGAAAGAACAGCCTCCCCAAGGTCCCACAGGAGGTTGGTTGGCAGAGCCAGGGCTGGACGCCAGTGCCCAGCCTCTGAGTCCAAGGCTGCTTGTACTCCTTGAGCCCAACCATGTGCCAGGCGCTGTGTGAGGTGTCCAAAGGCTGTGAAATGTGGCTCCTGCCCCACACGACCTTACAGGCCTGTGAGGGGGTGAATAAGGAACCTGGAAACACTCAAAAACCAATTCTGAATAGTCCCTTGTGTTCTGAGAGAAGCTGCCTGGTTAAGTTGTGGGGAAAGAGGAAAAAGTGCTCAGAAAGACATGGGGTTGAGAGGAAGGGGAGGGTAAACCTTGGCTCAGTCCCTGGAAAGGACACGGGTCTTCTGGGCCCCACCGCACTGGTCCAGCCTTGGGACTTGTGGCACCTCTGACCTGGGGTTGCGGGACCTATGTCCAGGTGGCCCAGCTGCCTCTGAGCCTGAAGGACAATGGCTGGCACCACATCTGCATCGCCTGGACCACAAGGGATGGCCTGTGGTCTGCCTACCAGGACGGGGAGCTGCAGGGCTCCGGTGAGAACCTGGCCGCCTGGCACCCCATCAAGCCTCATGGGATCCTTATCCTGGGCCAAGAGCAGGTAAGGCTCAGGGTAGTATGGGGGCTTGAAGCCTGAGTAGGTATCACACTCACCCAGGGCCCCTGGGAGGGAGGGGTTAGGGAAAGGGACCCTGGAAGCACAGCAGTGATCAGTCTGACCCAGCCATTCTGCAGATGGGCAAACTGAGACTCAGAATGAGCAGTGACCAGCCCAAGGGGCTGGAAACTTGGGGACAGAGGGGGAAGCTTGGGGCGGGGCTAGAACTTTAAGGGGCGGGGCTTCAGCAGGACCTGGGGCCTGATTGAGTCTGTCTGCCTGTCTTTTCCGATGGCTCACTCCATGTCTCTCTCTCTCCTCTCTCTGCTGCTCTCTTGGCCCAGGACACTCTGGGCGGTCGGTTTGATGCCACCCAGGCCTTCGTGGGTGACATTGCCCAGTTTAACCTGTGGGACCACGCCCTGACACCTGCCCAAGTCCTGGGCATTGCCAACTGTACCGGGCCACTGCTGGGCAACGTCCTCCCCTGGGAAGACAAGCTGGTGGAGGCCTTCGGGGGTGCAAAAAAGACCACCTTTGATGTCTGCAAGGGGAGGGCCAAAGCATGAGGGGCCACCTCATCCAGGGTCCCTCCCTTGCCTGCCATTTTGGGGACCTTACGGTGGGGGCACACGTTCCCTCCTCAGCCTACCCACACACTGGCCTTCCCTCCTGCCCTGCTCCTGGCCATGCCTCCTGTTTCCCCCACCTATACCCACACCTCCAGAATGCCCTGCCCTGCAGTGGCTGTCCCCTAACCCCACTTGGATGGGGACAAGCAGCTCAAGCCAACAGGTCAAGCCTGGGGTGAGTCCAGGGCCTGGTGGGGGTGATAGCAGTGCCCACAGCACTGTCCACCCTCTCGGCATCACACTGGAGCGGTCTCTTACCCCCACCCACCCTGGCCCATCCACCACGTCTGATGCCACTGATCTCAACAGCATGTCCCATGGGGTCATGTATGGAGGAAGGGCCCACTATCTCAGTGGCAGGCGTGGCTGTCTGCCCCCCTGTCCCCCATGCACCAGGCCTGGCCCCTTCCCCTTCAGGGCCACAACAAGCTCTAGAGCTGTCCCCCCAGCTGAGAAAGGGATGACAGAGACATAGGAGACTCAGACTCACCCCTCCTCCATCTTTCCACCCGTTGCCAGTGAAGGGCAAGGGGATCTTGATGGAGCCTCCTGCACCCTCTCTCTTCCTCCTCTTTCCTCGTTTCTTTGTGTGCAGTGGTTTGAATGTTGGTTCCATGCCTGGCCCACCCCCACCTCAATTCCCAGGACATCTCCTTCCCGGCTCCAGCCTGAGGGACAAAGACCCTGGGAGGCCAAAAGGCCATAGTCACCCCTTGTGCCCACCCACATGTGTGCTAACTGGCAGGTCACCTCTCCTCCTCCGTGCCCAGGACAGGGCCTGGGCCACTTCAGCCTGGGCTGGGAGCAGCTTGTGAGAGAGGCATGTGCCCAGGGGACCCAGGTTATGGCATAGCCACATTACCTAATCCCTCTGCATGGCCCCGAAGCCTCTGGGGAAAGAAGGGAGAAACCGAGTGGGCAAAGAGGGGAGAAGCACAGAGTGGTGTACAGAGCACTGGATGAGAAGGAGCCCATGGTTCCTAGCCAGCCCGGCTGCTCACCTGCTGTGTGGCCTTCTGTAAGTCCCTGCCTTCTCTGGCTTGGCCTTCCTCATTTGTGAGCTGAGGCCCTTGCTTTGGTCATTTCTCCAGATCAAACATGAGGTGGTCTGTGATTCCAAGTGGATCGGGTGGGGCAAGCCTGACGCTGCCTAGGAACCAGGGGCAGATCCTGAGAGTAGGCAGCAGATGGCATCTGGCCGGGCATGGGTCAGGGTCAGCAGCTGCCTCCAGAGAGTCAGGGGCAAGGGCAAGGGGCAAGGCAGACCAACCTCATGCACAGATTGTAAAAAACAGCTTTTCTGGATCACCCCCGCCCCAGCCTGGCACCCTTGCCCATCTGAGAGGGCTGAAGGCTTCCAGCTTCCCACCCTGAGTCCTCACCAGCTCCCCCAAGATAGTGGAAGAATGTAAAAGCTATAATGTAAAAGAATGAAAATACCCAGTCTGACTTCTTGCTTGTGTAGATGGGGAAGAGCTCCGAGAGGTCAAGTGACTTACACAGGACCACACAGCACAATGTGGCAGAACCAAGACTAGAACCCAGGGCTTCTGACACCCTCTTCAGTGCTCTTCCCCCCTACACCATACTGCCTGCCCATGAGTGTCTTTGAGTCCAGCCCTCACCTTAGAGGACAGACATTTTAAAGAGGTCAGAATGCTTTCCAACATGAACATCTTCCTTTATGAAACACACAAACATCTTGGCATCGAGACCCCCACCACCACCACAGGAAGTAGGGGGAGGAGAGGGGTGATCCCCAGGCACTCTGGCAGGAATGGAAGGCAGGTGTTCCCTCTGCCAGTCACCTACCAGGTGTCTGGGCAGCTGCAGGCTACCTGACTCGAGCAGGTACCCGTGCCTTTTGGCCCGCTTTCTGTTCCCTGTCTCTGTTCCCCACCACCACTTAACCTGAGGCAAGATGCAAGAGCTGCAGGCTGTGGGGCCCATTGCCATGGAGGCTTCTCCAAGACTTGTTGCCTCCAGCCCCCAGTTCCCTCCCTTGTTGCCAGTTCAAGAGCACAAATAGACCGTTCAGCACCACGGGCCCAACTCCCCCTAGAAGAAGAAGCGATGGCGTGCTTCAGCCAGAACCTGCTGAGACCAAGGTTGCCCTGGTAACAGCCAATGACATCAGCCTAAGTGCTGGGTCAAGCGTCTCTTAATGACATATGCTGTTGCTGGGGTGACAGCAGATTCAGGACCCAGATTCCCGGGACACTGGGCTTTATTGGGTTTCCGTTACTGGTTTTAAGGAAGCAGCTTTTGTGGAGGCCTTGGGGAAAGAAAGGGTCTAGGAGGGAACTGACAGAACTTGAGCTTACCCAGAGGCATCATCCCAAGTCCCTTATGCTTTGTCATGGTGACAAAGATGAGACATCTGACCTTGGTCCCATGCTGAGTCACCCTGGTCAGCCCTCCAGAGGGCACAGGAACAAATTAGAGGCGTTGAGGTGCAGGCTGTGAGTCTGGGCCATTGGTGAGTGGCCTGGGTGCCCATTTCCATTCCAGGAAGGTGAAAGCCCGAAAGTCCCCACCCCTCCTTCGTCCACTGATGGTTCTTCACCTTTGCCGAATGCCTGCTGTTTGGACGCCAGCTCTGGTCGTCTAGCTACTCCTGGGCACAGCCAAGAAGACGGGGAAAGAGGAGCTGGAAATGGCGCTTGCTTGTGTCCCTGAGCTGCTCTGGCTAACGGTGATGATGGAGCCTGTTTGTTCCATCTTTTTTAAATGTCAGGCACTGTGCTGAGCACCTCACATCTCATTTATCCTCACAACAGAGTCGTAAGCTGGGACTGTTCTTAGCCCCAGGGAGGGAACTGGAGCACAGAGAGGTTAAGTAACCTGCCCAGTGTCCATCAATTGGCAGGTGCTAGAGTCCAGACTTCAAACCAAGGCAGGTTACAGCAAGGACCAAAGGGACTGGCAGCCCTACTCTCTGTGGAGTGGGACTTGAGCATCATTGCTCCCGATGGGTTTTTCCCTAAAGAGATGTGCTTGACCCCATTCACTACCCTCACAGGTTGGTGATGGAGGAAGAGGCCCGGGATGGGCTGGCCCCAGGGCCAGGGTCCCCTTGGGTGAGGCCGTGGGAGGGGTCTCTGCAGTGTGCCCGCCACCTCAGCCCTTCAACTGGCTCTCGTTTCCAGAACTCAAAGGTAAGAGGAAGCTGGATGGTCTCCCAAGAGTCCCAGGCAGGGAATGGGGGAGAGGATCTTTCTCAAACTTCTGCTTTGGGTCAAGCCCTGCTCCAGGTGCTTCACAGCTCTTATCTGTCAGATTTTGCCCCCCTTTGTGGCATTCTGTACCCCCAGTCAACGTCCCAAGGGGATAGATCACCTTGCCACAATCGTGCATGACCTAGGACCACAGCTTTGGGCAGGAAGTTTCTTCAGGAGGCCCTCCTGAAGTCTCATTTTATAGATGAGGATGCCAGGGCCCCAGGAGGGTGAGTGGCCCTTGGGGCCACCCAGCCAGGACACCTGGAGACCTGATCTCAGCTTTCTGACTCTCCACAACGCAGTGGTCCCTACCCGCCACCAAGAACTGGGTCCCTGGTTCCTCTCCATTTCCCAGCACCTTGCCCGGAGCAGACTGGAGAAAGGGTCCCCTCCCAAAGATGCGATCATTCTCTTCCCCTCTGTCCCAGCTGCCTGCCACCCCAAACCCCACCTCACCCCTGCTGGGTGGGGAAGGGGCTCTCGTGGGCCCAGGCTGAGCAGTGAGTGAGCACATCCAGCTGTCTGACACTGTGAAATTAGTGCACCCGCCCCCCCCCCCCCGCCTAATTTTGTACATAAAGTGACATGAGATGCAACGTGTGTGTGTATGTGTATGAGATATGTCCTGGGTTTTGTTACTTTTTTGTTTTTTTAAATTTGAATGTTCAAAATAAACAATGTTTACTCTGAGGCTCTTCTTGCAAGGGTGAAGTTAGCCTGGGGGGTGCGGGGCAGGAAGGGGACGGCTACCTAGGGCAGGGCAGCAGAAAAAGACAGGAGGCGCCGGTTGGTGCCCCGTAGCCTCACCACTTTGGCCTCTCAGCTGATTGTTCTGCCAGCTCCCAGGCGCAGACATACCCCATTCCCCAGGATTTATGCAGGAAGGATGTAAAGAACACAAGTCCCACATGGAAAGTGTCCCAGTTCTGATAACTGGGTTTTGGCCTCATTCCCAACACCCCATCCCTACCTCGTGCCCCAGTTCTGGGAACCAGGTCCTTGACTTGTTCCCTGAGACCCAGTCTGCCTGAGTCACTTGCCTGGACCCCCAGAGTGTCACCTCCCTTGGGCCCTAGAGGCGATGGGGTAGGAGAGAGGGAGGGACACTGTTGTATTTCAACCTGTCCCTGCTCCACAGTCTACCTGGACCCCTCTGACTTGTTTGGCCTCTAGGTTGGACTCTTTGATAGTGTCAGGGTCTGCTACCCCCACCCACCCCTGCAGCACCTGCCCTACCCCCGGGAGGTCTTGATCTGGTCCCCAGTCCTCCCTGTCCACACCATCTTAGGGGCACATCCTCTGCCATCCCATCAATACTGTTACTGCTCGTAGTTGGACCGTGTCCAACTTTCACAGACAGCCCCTATGAAAAGGCCAGGGGGCCCGCGGGTCAGGGGTCACACCTGTAGGACAGGCCTTCCAGAATTTTCCAAAGCTTCCCAAACTTCCCACCTAAGTGAACTCACCCCATGAAGACCAGGGGGTATAGCTAGCTGGAAGCAGCACTTGAAACAAGAAAACCATATCTGAAGTCTACTGAGTTATCCGAAAACTTCGTGTGCTTTCTTCCTTCTCCAAAATGAACCCAGATTTGTTTTAAAATATTGCCTTTGATTACTTACCACGGAGCAAAATTAAGCTGCAGGCAATACACTTCGTTTATCCTCTCTCGCACTGATTTACTTACAAACACCCTCTCCCTCTGTCCCATCAGCTGGCAATGTCCAACCCTGGTTTAATCCCTACCATCCACCCGCTTCATGTCAGCACCTGCCCAGCTGAACCCTGATGCAGAAGAGCACAGGGCTCTGATGTGTGTTGACTCTCATTTCAAATTCATGGCCAGAGATCTCCAAGGGGCATTTCTGCCTGCCCTACAATCTTAGCACTTGCCTTGTATGAGGGCTTGCTCTCTAAATAGCTAAAAATCAGACCCTCTCCCTCCTCAGACCTCCTAGAGCCTCTCCACCCCCCTTCCCACCCCCTCAAGGGTGACCTTACCCCACAGTCCATTGAGGAAACAAAACGATCATCACCTCACCAAGTTTGTCTACAAACCTGCACATTCTCCAGCTGCCCTCCAGCCACTCAGCACAAACCGTCCCTGCTCCTACCAGAGGACCTTGTGTACTGGACCCCATCCCCCCACCTCCCCAAGAACATCTCTCCCGAGTCACCAACTTCTCCTTGTCAACTTTATCATTCCAACAGGCTTGCGATGATGCCCTTGTATCTCCTCACACCAAATCCCCCCATCCCAAGCCAATACACGCCTCAAGGCGTCACTCTTTCTCTGCTCCTATCACTGCAAGATTTCTTGAAAAAGCAGGTGTGGCAGGGTCCCCAAGACCACCCTCAGGTTTGATGAGTCACTGGAAGGACTCACAGGACTCCGAAAAGTTCTTCTCATGGTCACAGTTTGTTACGGCGAACAGACACAGAGGAAAAAGGCACATAGGGCAGAGTCCAGGAGAGACCAGGAGCGAGCTTCCAGGTGTCCCTTCTGGGGTGGGGGGAGTCATGGACAATGCTTCATCCTCCCAGCAGGGATGTGTGACACCTGTGCAGAAAATCATCATCCAGGGAAACGTACCTGAGCCTTGGTGTCCTGGGCTTGTCACAGGGTCAGTCACGTAGGCATGAAGCACCTGTGTGGGCCTTAACTACTCAGTCTCCAGCCCCAACACCCAGAGGTCAAACTGACACAGGGTGACCCAGGGCCTCAGACAAAAAAAAAAAAAAGCAGGTGTTTTCCATAAGTCACTTTGTTAACAAATTCTCTGATATGGCCCAAGGTATACAAAGACACCCTTATCAGGCAGGATATTTGAAGGCCTCAGAAGTTATCTACCAACCACCGGTCAAGGCCCAGTCCTTTCTTTGGAATGGGCAGGGTTTGAGCACCCTAAGCCGGCTGAGTTAACCCTTTACTGCACAAGGGGTCCATAGTCTTTGCCACACCCTCCCTCTCTCATTCACATCTTCTCCAGTTCCCACTCGGCCACGGCACCCACGGCTTGCCGAGATCACTCTTGTCAAGGCCAAGAGTGACCTCCACATTCATTATGAAACTTCATGGCCAGGCCCCAGTACTCATCTGAGCTGAGCTCCCAGCTGCACTGACACCTAGTTAACCACTCCTTCCTTCTCTTAAGATTTCCTTCTCTTGCCTTTCAAAACACAGCTTCCCCGGTTTTCCTTCCGTTTCAATGGTTTGGCCTGTAGCACAATCAAAGCACTGATGTCTGGGCCTCACCCCTGGCATCTGAGACAGCAGGGCTGGGGTGTGGCCTGACATTCAGCATTTCTAACAAGTGCTAGGTGATGGCTGTGGCCACTGGTCCCTGGGACCATACTTTGAGAACCACTGCTTGACTTCACTGGCTGCTCCTTCTCAGACTCCTTCCAATTCCTCCTTATCTCCCCGACCTCTAAATCTGCAGGACCCCAGGCCACAGCCTCTTCTCTTTATTCTTTGTATTTAGACACTCTCCCTAGGAAATCTCATCCAGGCTCATGGCTTTAGCTATCATCTGATGATTTTCAAACCATGACTATTTGCCTGATAGGAGTCTCAGTACTAATATATCCAAAACTCCTGATCCCCCTCGACTTCTGCCCCACCCTTCCATTTAATAAACAGGCTCATGATCCACCAGTTGTTCAAATCAGAAATGCAAGAATTATCATTGATTTCCCTCTTTCTCTTGCATTATCTGTCTTCTGACTCCACCACTAACGCGGATCTCCAGCCTGCTCACTCCTCTCCACTTCTGCTACTGCTCTGTCCAAACCACCATCATCTCTGAATTGTACTCCTGCAACAGCCTCTCTCAAAATCCATTCTCTATACAATACCCAGCGTGATCGTGTTGCAATCAAAATATGTCTTCCCCTTCACAGAACTCTCCGAAGCATGCCAATACACTTAGAATGAAATCCATACCCTCACCCTGATTTACAAAGCCCTGTGTGATCTGACCCCCTCCCACCTCTCGGGTCTCATGCATTACCTCTCTCCCTTTCTCCCATTATGCTCTGGGACGCACAGGCCTCCCTCTGTTCCCCCAGCCTGCCAGATCTGGGGAGACTGCATATGTTCCCTCAGCTGGAAGGCACCATCCCCTAGTTCTCAGGGGACATGCTCCTTCCTGTCATTCAGGTCTCAGCTTGTCATGAACAATCACAGATGTTTTGCTGACCCCTCAGCCTTAAGTCGCTGCCTGGTCACTCTCCACCACTTGCTCAGTCCTCTCCCCCATGACCCCAGAATTGGCAACTGAGCCCTACCAATTCATCCTGGACCCAAGGCTGTCGGGGTCACCTGCTCTATCATCCTCTTTAACCCTTTCCACAGCACGTACTCTTTTTGATAATGATCTTGTTTACTTACTTTTAATTGTGGATCACCCAGAGTGTCAGCCCCGTGAGAG